CGTGCCCCCCACCAGAAGCCACGCCAGACGTCACTAGCCGACTTGGAACAGAAGGTGCCCACTAACTATGAGGTGATTGCCAGCCCAGTTGTGGCCATGTCTTCAGCCCCACCTGAAACCAGCTATAGTGGCCCAGCAGTAAGCAGCAGCTATGATCAAGGCAAGGCTGCTGAGCTGCCCCGGGCCGGGGACCGTAGTGGTGTGAGCCTGAGCTCAGCCTCCACCTACCCCTCTGACTCCCACTACACCAGCCTGGAGCAGAATGTCCCTCGGAACTATGTGATGATTGATGACATCAGTGAGCTGACCAAGGATAGTATCTCCACTACCCCTGATAGCCAGCGACTAGAGCCCCTGGGGCCAAGCAGCAGCGGGCGTCCAGGGAAAGAGCCGGGAGAACCCAGCATCCTTGAGGGGACTGCATTGCCCTGCTGCTACACCAGAGGGGAGGAGGAATCTGAAGAGGACTCTTATGATCCCCGTGGGAAGAGTGGCCATCACCGGAATCTGGAGAGCAATGGCCGACCAGCCAGTGCCCACTACTACAGTGACAGCGACTACAGACATGGAACTCGAGCAGAGAAGTATGGTCCAGGTCCCATGGGGCCTAAGCATCCCTCCAAGAGCCTGGCACCAGCTGCTATCTCCTCAAAACGTAGCAAGCACCGGAAGCAGGGCATGGAGCAAAAGATCTCCAAATTCTCACCTATCGAAGAGGCCAAGGATGTGGAGTCTGACCTGGCCTCCTACCCCTCCCCTGCAGTCAGCAGCAGCCTAGCCTCTCGGGGCAGGAAGTTCCAGGATGAAATCACCTATGGGCTCAAGAAGAATGTGTATGAGCAGCAGAGGTACTATGGGGTGTCCAGCCGGGACCCAGTGGAGGAAGATGACCGCATGTATGGAGGGAGTGGCCGGTCCCGGGTGGCATCTGCATATAGTGGGGAGAAACTGTCCGGCCATGACTTCAGCAGCCGGGGCAAGGGATATGAACGGGAACGGGAAGCCATGGAGAGACTCCAAAAAGCGGGCCCCAAGCCCTCGTCCCTGAGCATGGCCCATGGCCGGTCCCGGCCCCCCATGCGGAGCCAGGCCTCTGAAGAGGAGAGCCCCGTCAGCCCCTTGGGGCGGCCCCGCCCTGCCGGCGGCACCCTCCCTCCTGGGGACACCTGCCCACAGTTCTGCTCCAGCCACTCCATGCCTGACGTCCAGGAGCACGTCAAGGATGGGCCTCGGGCCCACACATATAAGCGTGAGGAGGGCTACATCCTGGATGACTCCCACTGCGTAGTTTCCGACAGCGAAGGTAATGGCAGCCAGGGGTGATTTCTGCAGCCGCTCAGCACCCGGGGGGCCTGCCCGCCCATGGGGCCCTGGGCCCTGAGATGTCCCAGGGGGGCCTGGCTTGGCGCCTCATCCAGTGGGCTGCTCCACCTGCGCCCTGGCCCTGGTTGTGGGGGGGACGGGCTGGGGGCCTAGTGTTAATTGCTTGTGGCTGTGGTGCCCACTCTCTGGTTTCCTTGCATGGCTTCAGCTGGGCCTCCCCCTGCGGCCAGCCCAGGGGTTGATGGTGTTCTGTTTTTGGTCTCTGAAGCGTATCACCTGGGCCAGGAGGAGACAGACTGGTTTGATAAGCCCCGGGATGCCCGCTCTGACCGGTTCAGGCACCACGGGGGCCATGCAGTCTCCTCCTCCTCCCAGAAGCGAGGCCCTGCCAGGCACAGCTACCACGACTACGATGAGCCCCCCGAGGAGGGCCTGTGGCCACATGATGAGGGTGGCCCGAGCCGCCACACCTCAGCCAAGGAACACCGGCACCACAGTGACCACGGGCGGCACTCAGGCCGCCACACTGGTGAGGAGCCAGGCCGGCGTGCTGCCAAACCACACACTCGGGACCTGGGCCGCCATGAGGCCCGGCCTCACCCTCAGCCCAGCCCTGCCCCGGCCATGCAGAAGAAGGGTCAGCCTGGGTACCCCAGCTCTGCTGAATATTCACAGCCATCCCGTGCTCCGTCAGCATACCATCATGCCTCTGACAGCAAGAAGGGCTCCCGGCAGGCCCACTCGGGGCCCACTGCACCACAGCCAAAGCCAGAACCCCAGCTGCAGTCACAAGGTCGGCAGGCAGCTCCTGGGCCACAGCAATCACAGCCGCCACCATCAAGGCAGACACCCTCGGCAACAGCATCACGCCAGCCACAGACGCAGCAGCAGCAGCAGCAGCAGCAGCAGCAGCAGCAGCTACAGCCCCCTCAGCAGGCCCCAGCGCAGGCTCGGCTGCAGCAACAGGGCCAGCAAGCTACCCGGGGCCCAGCCTCTGCTGCCAGCCAGCCAGCAGGGAAGGCTCAGCCAGGCCCCCCAACAGTCACAGGCTCCCAGCCAGCAGGACCGGTAAGTAGGGCTCCAGTGCATGGATCCTACCCAGGGTGTATACTGCGGCCGCAGCTTGGACGTGCCCTTGGTTCCAGGCTGGGCAAGGGCAGAATCCACGGACAGTATCTGAGCTATGGGTTCTGTGTTGCAGCCACGGGCAGAGCAGGCAAATGGCTCTAAAGGGACAGCTAAAGCACCCCAACAGGGGAGGCCTCCTCAGGCCCAGCCACCACCAGGACCTGGACCTGCAGGTGAGCCTGTATTTTGGTGCCCTCGGCCACGGCCCAGAATTCCTGGTCTGCCCTCTCCCTACACCCATGGGCGTCCTGAGCTCCCCTGCATTGCCACCCGCACTGCTCCCTGTGAAGGTGCCCAGGGGGCTGCAGACCTTTGCAGTAGGAAACAAGCTTGGGGTTAGAATGAGCCAGTTGGGGTCACCAGCACTGGGGACTTTGAGCCCAGGCAGCTCTGGTCAGGGAACCTGAGTACAGGGCCAGGACCACAGCTTCTTACTGTCTCTTTCCTTCCCCTTCTCTCCTCCCATCTGTCTTTCCATCTTCCTCTTCTCCTTCCTTGCTTTCCTCAACTTCCCTTTTTCTGCCTGCTCCAACCCCTTTCCTTCATGTTCTCTCTCTCTCTCTCTCTCTCTCTCTTCATTTCTCTCTCCTCCCCCTCACTCTCCAATCTCACAACTGCCTGTATTCAGATTCCCTCAGGGCTGCTCTCCCACTCAAGCCTGTCTCCTGATGGTGGTTTCTTTCCCCCTAGGCATGAAGGCCGGAGCCAGGCCTGGAGGGACCCCAGGGGCTCCTGCCGGCCAGCCAGGCGCCGATGGTGAGAGTGTGCTCTCCAAAATCCTCCCTGGTGGGGCAGCAGAGCAGGCTGGCAAGCTGACAGAAGGTAGGCACTGCCTACAGCCAGGTCCATGGTGGGCGGCAGCTCCAGGGCCCTACTCTGGCAGAGGTTATGTCTGGGAAATGATTCCAGGCTCGGTCAGCCAGACATAGGCCAGCCTGAACATCCACCTGCTGCTGCCCAGTGGCTCTCTGGGTGGTCCTTGCCCCTTGGGGTGGGCTTGGCTTCACTGTGCCAAATGGCCCCAGCCAGGAAGGAGTCTAGTCCAATTTCCTGATGCCTCTCTTTTTCTTTGTCACAGCTGTCTCTGCTTTTGGCAAAAAGTTCTCCTCATTCTGGTGACCATGCCCTGCAGGGTAAGTATGGGCTGCCTGTACCCAGCCTCCCTTTGCATGGGGGGTCCTGAGGAGTCGTCTAGGAGGAGTCTGGTCTTTAGCAGTGGTGATGTGGCCAGAGCTGCAGTATTCTCTCCTGTGAGTGTGGGAGGAGGAAGAGGAAAAGGAGGAACCCAATGCATAGAGGCCTTAATGTGGGGCCAACTCCACAGGGGTCCTGGGAAAGGGAAGCTAGGGCCAACACTCCCTTGTCCTTCTCCACCACCCCTACCACCCCTCCCAGGGCTCTCACAACTTTGAACTGGCTTTAGTTTGTAGGTAGGGCCCCCTGGGATACAGCTCCTCCTCAACCTTTCTCTGTAAATGCTCCACAGGCTCTTGAAGAGACGAAAGGAGATGATATCATTGCTGTGGAAAAATCTCTGGAGTCAGAGGCCTGGGCACAGCTCTGGACTCTGCGTATAACAGTGAGTGTCAGGTCCAGGGTAGGGTGGGGCAGAGGAAGGGGTGAAGGTCCAAGGCCTGGCTGACCAGACCCATGTAGCTCCTACAAATGTGAGCTGGGAGGAGGCTGGTGGACTTCCTTCAGCTGTGATGGGCCTCGCAGCTACCCGAGGGCCAGAGACCACCAAGCTGGCTGAGATGACTCAGGCAGTAACCTCAGGGAAGGACCCAGCAAAGCCAACCATCTCCCACAACTTCGGGTCTGTGTTCTGGGCACTGATTCCAAAGCCCTTTCCCTGAGGCCTCGTGCTGGTGACTTTGCTCCAGACAGTCTGGTGAGGCCTGAGTCCCCAATGCTGCAGACCGTAGTAGCCATGAGCATGAACTTAAAACACTGTTGGCTTTCACAGGCTGAGCTCATGACCTGCAAGATGGAAGAGCAAAATGAGAAGTGAGGCAGACAGGAAGAGGACAGAGAGGAGAGGGAGGTCACTGGACAGGCAGTCTCAGCCCCTAGCCAGGTCAGCCCAGGGAGAGAGTGGAAGGGCCTCTGCGCAGGGGCCGTGGCTCTGCCTGGGCTGCAGTGGCCAACACGGGATGAGAAGCCTTCTCCTGGAACCCTCTCTGGTCCCAGCCCAGCCTCTGTGGCAGAGGAGGAGGTAGCGCATCATCCAGGATGGCAGGGGGGGTAGCCTGGCTAGTGGCGCTGCTCTGTGCACGGCCAAGGGCCACCTTCTACCATTCCATAACCCTGGGGCCTTCTCCCTCCCCTTTCTTCACCACCTCTCAGGTTGAGTTTAGAGGTTTGTGTGCTTCTCGTGGTGAGCAGGCAGGTGTGTGGCAGGGCCAGAGAGTCAGCGAACAAATCACAAGGGAGCCCAGGCCAGGGCTGCTTGTAGGAAGGAGCTGGGTGTAGTGGCAGAAGGGCTGCCTGTCTCTGGAGGAACGGTGGGGGCCCTAGAAACGTCCGGTCTCTCATTCACTTAGCCGTTTATTCCACAAATGTTTGTCAAGTCCTAGGCAGGTGCCAGGCCCTGTTCCAGGTGCGAGGGATACAGCAGGAGATAAAACCAGGTCCCTGCCCTCCAAAGTGGACAGTCCATTTAAGGGGGACAGAGAAAAAATAAGTTAAAAAAAAACACTAAAGGTTAAAAGGTAATTTCTGAAGGTGGTAAGTGTTATGAAGCCAGTGAAGCAGGGTTGTGGGGCAGGGGGTCTGCTCTAAAGAAAGTAGTCAGTGTGAGGTAAGGCTTGAGGAGGGACGATGTTGGGATGGGACAGGTGGGCCTTCAGGCCAGACAAACGGCTGGCAGAGCCAGAGCCACAGCAAGGGGAGAGACGGTCAGGGTGAAGTCTGAGGGGGTGAGAGCCAGCTCGGGTGGGCTTTGTAGGCCAAAGTAAAGAGCCTGGAATTTGTTTTAATTACAGTAGCCACAGTGCAGCACCCCCAGCGTTCTTCCTGCCTTCACCCCACTACAGCGGGCTCCCTGCTGCTTTCCCGCCCAGCCGGATGTTTCCTTGGAGTTGCCCTGGAACAGATGTGAAATCAGAAATTGTGCTGAAGGGAAGGAAGGGCAG